ATTAAAACAAAAGTGAACATGGTCAGCAACTGCTGCGATATTAAATTAAAAGTTTCAAAGAATTCGAAATATCAGATTCAAGATTTTTACCAAAAATTGTATTCAAAGTAAAAAAGAATTCACCACTCCCCAGTGACAAAATATTGCAGTACAGGGTAATAAAATAATCAAAGCATTAAATAAAAGGAATGAAGACAAACAAACAGCTGTATTATATGTGCCATTTTAGTCTTCAATACTACATGTATTTGTCCATTTTACGTTAATATTGAAAACACATTCACGACCCCAATAGTTGTGTAAAAATCTGATTAAATTCAATTACAAAACACATAATCTGTTTTTTTTTTTTTATCCACCAGTGGTCAAAAGTTAATTAAAAGTTAATCACTGAGAAGACCAACATTTTGTACTCATACCTGCCACCAACGCGTCTTTTAGATTCCAATTCCCTAAGTGGGGAATGGAGCCACTGAGAGCTAGTGCCAAATTTTCTTGTGGAATTTCACAGCGACATTGCATTTCTACTCTGAAAGAGCCGAGGCTTCTTGGCATCTCGTGCACAGCCATTTTTACTTCTACGAAACGTGAAACTATGCAATCAATTGTGACGTAACATAACTATGACTTCGCATATGTTTTTTTTAATTATGACGTACATTATCAGTGTGACACTGGCACTTCATAGCATAACACTTTATCCAGACTGTAAATATAAACAAATTAGGATTCATTTTTCAACATGAATGGTAAAAATAACCATACAAACTCAACGCAAGAACTACCAGTGAGAGGTCGAGTTTTTATTGAGGTGAAAATTTGGAAACAATGTGAAAACCATTAAACCTCGTGATAGGTGATTGTAGCCTATGTAGACTGGGGTACTTGTTACATACTTATATATATCCATATGTAGATATGGATAAATTTCTATCTCATCTAGGTTTCAATGCTGAGTGCTTGAGTTGACCAGCAAGTTAATTAAACAAAATTTTAAAAAGTAATTGCTGGATATTCTTAACTGATATGCCTTATTCACAGGCTCATTACAGTATACAAACAATACACTATGTCTTTGTCATATCAATTATAGATAACTTAGTCGTTATTGAAATGAAATCTTTACCTTTATAAGGAAAATATTGTTCATGCAATTTAAAATTAAATTTAGACCACATTCCATGGCCGTAGGAACCGGGGGGGGGGGGGGGTGCCCCCCCCCCCAATAATTTCGCCGATATATACATTACTATAGAAAACATAGCTACCATATACTTGTGCCCCCTGAATAAAAACGCCTGATGACCTTTTTTTTTTTTTTTTTTTTTTTTCTTTTTTTTTTTTTTTCTTTTTTTGTTTGTCAAGGAATTTTTGGTTGATAGTGCCCCTTCAATTGAAAATGTATGGCTGTGCCCCCTCAAACTGAAATTGCTTCCTACGGGCCTGCATTCATATCACGTAGTTTTCTAAAACCAGTTTTAAAATTTTCGACAAATATTCCTTTTGTTTGTAAATACGTAGCTGTTTTTGTTGAAATTTTTGCAGTGTTCGCATATATCTCTTTCCAATCATGGAATAGAATGCCATAAGTGTTTTAAGATTTACATGTACATACATTGATGTAATCACCTTTTTGATCCTTAATACTGAGCGTCCTATGATTATGTGTATCATACACCTAACACATAAATGCCTGTAAGTAGTATTATACATAGGATCAGTATAAGATCATACTATGATATGTCTAAGAAACTGCTATTCAAGCATTCTTTGGATGTACTAACAAATTTCATGAACTTATGGATACTGTAAAAGTAGAAAACATTGCGGTGTTTTTAAGTTCACTATATTCGCGATCGAAGAATATTCCCGAGAAAATTAAGCCATCGTGAATATTGCTGACATATCAATGTGGCATTCAATTATCTATTCACTTTAAAATCCTGTTTTTATATTTTGTAACGGTAAAATAGAATTCGGTTTAAGTTAGTTACTGGATACGTTTATGTTAAATAATTTACCGTAACTTTTTTGGATTTTTTTATATAATAATAAAATTGCAAATATATATTAAAGAGAAATTCAGTGTCCGTGAAATTAAAACCAGAGTGAAATGTACCAACATAGTGAATCGTGAAATATTAAACACAGATTAAGAACTTGTTTTGAGTATCCATTATTCTACTAGTGAAACTTACTGCAGTATAGATTTCTTATTATTATGTGGAGATATCGAAGAGAATCCTGGTCCCTTTGAATCATCCAGTTCTACACCCGATGTATCTTTTGATAATTCTAGAGAGTCTCTAGAACTTCTTTGGAAAAATCTGTTTCTATAGTACTGTAACATCTAAATGTACAAAGATTTAAGCCTAAATTACATGTAGATATTATTCAAGCTGAGAGATTTTACTTTACTCTACATTTATATTTTACTTTATATGAAACTTGTTAGATAACAAGACAGGCACATTAATTATATATATAATTAATTAAATTATAAATTAGTAGTTCTAAATCCGCATGGAAATTTTACGGTGAAACTAAGGAGAGAAAGAATTCATTTTATATTATTGAAACAGAAACATAGAATCTGGTAATAAATTTAATGATACGCATTCACATCCTGGCCTTATACCATGAACAGGGGTAAAAAAGACTAATTATAGCAAAGCGCCAATGTGCCAAATAGTACGAAAAAGGATAAACAAGCAAGTAGGGAGAATAACCTCCTTGAACGACAATAACAGGACTAAATCTCAAAAAGTAGAAATGAGAAATATAACCAATCAAATGTCAAAAGAACAAAACTACAATAATGACTGGACATTGGTAATTAATGCCTCAATCAACCTTAGGTAAAATAAATTACGCTGGTAGAAAGTTGGTAAAGTCTCAAATTTCGATCATCCACCCCATGATACGAGTTCATCAATGTTAACGCGCCACGCGTTTTCTGCCACAATGGATGACTTCGCAAAACGTTCTTATTAAAAGTCTGAATCATATGGAGATCAGTTATAACAAGAATAGATATGGGTTACCCCATATCCAAGATATTCGACTTTTAATTTATTCGAATTTTCATTGTGCTCAGATGATTTCTAATTTAAAAAAAAAATATTTACTGATAAAACGTCAGAGATACTCAAGCTGTAGAAAGTCAACTATACAATGGCCATAAATAACCTAAAATGACATAATATTTAGGCTACTGAGTTTCAACATCTTTTGTTGAATAAAATATGCATGTACTAAGGAAACTGCATGTACATACATGTATATAATATAACGATACATGCGATTAGTGACTTTTATTATCACAACGTTGCAGATGCTTATAGAAATAGTTTTAATTTCACATAGAATATAGACTAAATATAATTAACCATATAATTTTAAAGATGTATTTAACAGCTCACTCATTTTCAGGAATATTTAATCCAAATAGCATGTTACAGGCAACGTTTTCAAAGTGAAGGGGGGGGGGGGGGGGGGGCTCCGAAAAAATCCCGCGTACTATGGGCCTGTGCTACATGTGTACCATCTAACTTTCCAATGATAGAATCTTCTGTAAAAATTCGAAACAAGTCCAAGCAAAGATCAAAGATAGCCCAATTTTTTTATATAGCAAAACTATAGATCTATCAAGGATAGATTTTAATTTATTTTTTAATTTTGTGCTATTAAAGTACTATCACTCAAAGTATAGGCAGATGTTAAAGATGGGTCAACAAGAGTAATCAATGAACTTGTCTAGAGATACATTGACGGCCGTTGTTAAACGCAAAGGAAAGCGCGAGATCGGTTGCGGCGGTGGAGCATCACTCCTTCGTCAAAGAATAAAATCCGACATTTAACACTTTATATAGATTTTGAATATAGAGACGTTTTGAAGATAGACTTCATTTTTGTTTCTAGAAATGTTTTTATTTACAAAAATAGTATATTTTCGTGTTTTTAAACTGAATAGACCAATGACCTAGCATCGTTTTAGGTAACTCAGCCCCTCTAGCCCAGTCTAGGGCTTGAGTAAAAAACCTGCACTTGTTATGAAACTGATGTATAGTTCTTCTTCATGTCCGTAGCAAATACTGATACCCAGTCTACATGATCTAAGCGTCACTAGCGAACGGTGCACATACCTGTGCTTGCAAGACCAAATAGACTAGGTTTACACACGTGCGAAGATCCTTTCAGACGAGCTCGGCAAATCACGTTGCTTTGCCGAGAAGTTACGATTGCAGGTGTTTAACCACATAATAACCATTCCGTTATTTAAAAAAAGAGAAAAAAACACACACACAGTTAATGATTAATATTCTCACTCAAAAGAAAATATACGGCAATTAACGAACAATAATCATGACAGTTATATAATTGGTGAAAAGATTTATCACTATCAATCGAAGGATGACCTATATATTTTCGTGAAAAAGACTGAGGAGGCAGCGAGCGTAGGAATATGAAAACTTTTTATTTCCTTTTCTGGGGAAAAGTGATTTTCTTAAAATCTTTTTACGTTAATTTTGTTTTCTTTAACGTATTGAATACACATCATTATTCTTAACATTTGCTGTAATGTTGTATCTACTGATCATGAATGGAACTATTTTCTTCGGAGCAATTGTGTGAAGAGTACCTGACTTTAGTAATATATCTTGAATAGATAATATGCACTGATCGAATATATTAAAAATTCTGCAGAGGGTATACATGACTAATAAAAGGTCACACATACCCTAACACAACACACCCTTCTCACACAACACATCCTCAACCCTCCACCCCCATCCCCCACAACCACACACACAGTATTATATAATTTTCAATTATAAGTGACTCATTCTTCTCTGGTTGATATTAAGAACACGATTAAGCAGGTGAGATAAAATTGTAAATAAAGTGATAAAGTGTAATTTCTCTGGTCAAAAAGTGGAACTTTTGTTCAGTGTATTTGTTTATAATTACAGTCAGTTGCGAACTGCATGGTTTAACTGATCATGGACAAAAATGGCGAAGAAACAAGACCAACATTTGACGGAATGGGCCTACCGCCATTTCCGCATTTATTAGAAGATGCTAAGAAAAGGTTTGAAGAATTAAGAAATCTGGAATGTAGAAAGGACGACATCATACTTGCTACCTATCCGAAGTCAGGTAATGGACATGTATGTTATTTGCAGGGTTTTGCACACCTACCAATAGCAGTGATTATGCAAACATATTAACGTGTTTGCTTTGTGTGAAAAAATTTAAAAACGCTAAAAGAAATGGATTTTTTTTTCTACCTTTTTGTGTGTTTGAAACACTACAATACAAAATACAAAATACACCTCTCTGACTTAAAAATATTTAGATAGTTTGGATTATGAAAACTTTGAAGAGCCTATTTCAATCACGTTATTTCAGGTAGAGTCTCTAACTATTTTGATGTTATTGATTTTGGTAAAATTTTGTTATTATAAATTTGCTAAAAGTTCCTTGGAGTTTTTAAAGTATCCACATCTTATTTACATCATGCACTTATCGAATATATTGTTGAGCAGTACTCTTGAAGTTTTTTCTTTTACTGCTGGTAATATTTTATTATTATATCAAATAACACAGATAGAAATAACTTTAGATAGTCTTTGATTACTATCATATTTTTGAAAATGAATATTTAAAAAAAAAAAAAACACAATTAAAATGTTACATGCATCAACTCACTTGAACAGGAACACACTGGGTCTGGGAGATTGTCTGCATGATTCTCAAGAAGAAAGCTGAATACATGAAGGAAACTAAAGAATTTCTCTTTCTGGAAGCTATACCCGACATAAGTGTAGTCGATAATCTTGCCTCTCCAAGGCCACTGAACACGCATGTTCCCTACAGATGGCTACCGAGGCAACATATAGAAAATGGCGGAAAGATTGTCCATGTTCTGAGAAATCCTAAAGATGTTGCCGTATCGATGTATCATCACTTCAACAACGGTAAAATGTTTGAGGAGCCAGTGGACTTCAAAACATTTTATGAAAAGATATTCATGGGTCCAGGTAAAAATAAATACAACTACAACAAACACATTCTCATTAAAATATTCTGATACATATCTATTGATTACAGTCTGTAATAAATTCATTCCAATCATTTTGCACTTCTCCCATGTTTAAACCTATTTTTTCGGCACCCATGCAACTTCATATGTGCATGATTTACAGGAACAAAAGTGTTGAAACTTATTAAATAATTCTTATTCTTTAAGGTTTAAGATTTCACAAGCGATCCAGTATTTAAATAAATGTACCTAGCATTGTAATTAAGGATTTTCAGAAAAAAATATTTGCCCACCAAACAACTTCAAGACAGATCTATATGCTCTCGTGTTTACAAAGAATATAATTACATTTTTTAAAGCAACTTTAATTAACAGATTGTATTGTTGAATAATACATACATTGTTATATATTACTGCTTATTAATTGTGAGTTCAATTTTTTCAAAATTATCAAGATATGCCAAAAGAGGGATGTTTATTGATGTTATTTTCATCTAGGTGTTAGTATAGAGCTCAAATGGGGAGTTCTGTTGCATGTGCATCAGAAAGTCCAAAACACCAATCTCAGGTTTTACATGTATGGGTTAAAAACAGAAAATGTTTAGATCCATAATGGTCCTTCATTGCTAGTTATGACGTTTGTAGGACAAGCATTTAACTAATTAAAAAAAACATATTAGCTAAGACATTAAAAGTCAGAGACACGTGTGATGTTTTGTTTACTTTGAATTTCCTATTTATTTAAAAAAATAACTTGCAAATCAGTTAAATAGTTCGAACCAACATGAAAATTATCAAAATTCAGTAACAACGAAATACTTCGTAACTTAAATCAAACACCCGTGTTTGTGAACATAGGCTCCAGTTCTGATAAAGTTTATGTTTTACAATTTAACATTAATCACATCAATGAGCACAAGCAGACAATATTAGTGTATTTGTTTGCTTTCTTTTATTTCTATTCTAACTTTTCTTTTTTATTAAATGTATGTAATATATTAAACATCTTTTTTTTTTATAAATACAGCATATATTTCACACTTTTATCAGATAAATAACGTGAATGGAAGTATGACAATCAAATACGCCCGAAATTCCTTGTTATAATCATTTTCAGATAAAAAAAAAAGTTTCTAAATACCTATAACATATCAGTGTGAAACGCTCTGGAAACAATGGAGTCCTGAAATTCTACTGAAAAATTTAATAAATACAATGAATAAAGATGTGTGTTTGTCCATTTAAAAGATGCTTGTATTATCTCACATTTCTTGTTACAACTATTACTCTTACCAAAGTTTATATCTATTTTACAATATATGAAAAAGAAACAAATTTATTTCAATACATATGGATTTCTGTTAGCATATAAAAACCTCTAGCAAGAACTTATAATTATTCAGTATCTTTTTTCCATATGTTTCCGGAGTATGAAATTATGTTATTTAGATGGATTCCTTTTGTATTAAGTCTATCACATGGAATTCTCAATTAATAATATTCAAATATTACTAGTATTTGTAACCCATTTTTAAAAGAAAAGTTAAAACGAAGTTACATTTTTTTTTGAAGCTCCGCATATGGGAGGCTGGTTTTCGTACGAAAAAGAATTTGAAAATGCAGAAGCGACAGACACACGGGGTGCAATTTTTACGGTTCACTATGAAAGTATGAAAAAGGTATGTAACATTTCTTTACAGTTACAATGTGTAAGAAAAGTCTGGCATACTAGAGTATGTTTTTTCTTGTACTATTAGTGAGTACAAATTTTAGATGGATACCTAGCCTAAGTTAAAAACACTGAGGTGTTCACACGTATTGTCATGTCAAAAAGGGTCTTTGTTGGTCATTTAAAGTTTGAATTGTGCCATAGATGCTGCATGTGGTGCAAAGTTCTGCTCGTTCTACTTATAAGATCGCCCGCCCATCTTCCTTTACGAAAAATTCTAAACGTGGTACACACTACCAACAGTTAAAAACAATATCATTACAAACTAATCAATATCAAGATATGAGGTATTGTAAAGGCTTTGTAAAGGGTTTTTCAACACATTATTTAACATGGAATTAAACACGACATTGTATGAGAGTATGGGACAACTTTATATGAACGTAATCTTTATTTTTTTTAAATAAAAAGAGGAAAGTGATTTTCAATTGCATTTACACGTACAGTCCATTTAATATCGAGTCGTAGATTCACCTGAACCAAGTAAGTTGAAAATAAAATATAGAGAATTTAGAGATAACGATATTGTGAAGTAAATTGTTAACATGTAGTGGACATCATTTTAACGGATAGGACAATGGTACTTGCTAAGAATAGTTTTGCTCAATGATAACAACAGCTATGAAAGGTACATTCCTCTACATGTTGAATCATAATCAGTTTTTCATAGTTTTTAAAAGAAACAGATTATATTACTTTTTTGTTTACAACTGATTTTATTGTCATGTACAAAACTGGATCGAAGCTATAGTCTTTGAATGGATCAAACAAGACCACGTGCCTTGAATTATGCCTGTCGGCCGTATGATCAATTTCAATGCTACTGCGTAGTACTTTTTACCTTATTAAGACAGCAAACAACACAAAAGACATATTTTGTATAATTGAGACCGTATAAAGGATGCTTTCACAAACATAAAAATTTAGGCCTCAGTCAGAGAATTCCCAGTACATGAACATAATTATACAGTTTTATTTAGGTTAACTCTCTAAACGATACATCTGCTGGATTGATCAAGAAATCATATAAATGCCATTTCATTTTTTACAGTTTTACTTTCTTCTTAGGTTAAAGAATATCATCTTGTCTAATTCAATTAAATGTACTTGCAGAAATATTCAAACTTCTTGTCAAAGAGGTAATTCTCATCTTCATTTACAGAATCCAATCGATGAAACCAAAAGGCTTGCCAAATTTTTAAATGTGGATTTGACTGACGAAATTATAGCTGAAATAGTGGATAAATGTAGCTTCAAAAAATTAAAAGAAGCTACTGAGGCAATGAAGGACTTACCAAACTTTGCAAATCGCAAAGACCCAGGCACGGTTAAGCGAATAATGTCAAGAATGTATAGAAAAGGTAAAAACACGTCACGAATGTTCAGAACAGATAAAGAAATGCACTTCGAAAATTTATAGAAAAAGTAGATACACATGTCAGGAATTGGAAGGTAAAGCAAAAAAAAAAAAAATAATAATAATGACCAGAACCAAGAAAAGGTAAAGCAAAACATGTCAAGAATATTTTTAAAAGGTAAAGCAAAACATTACTAGAATTTACAATTAAAGGTGAAGCAAAACAAGTCAGGATTGTAAAAAAAAAAGGTAAAGCAAACAATTTTTGTATACTAGAAAATAATTAATATCAACATGAGAAAATAAGATCAAGATGGTTATTTTGTCGCTATATTCAAGTTCGTTTTTTTAAAAAAAGATTTTTTACTTTTTGAAAATGATATTGTTATATTTACATTAATTACTATTGAAACATGAAAATTTTGATTTAGATCTCGTACTATCTAACACATTTAAGGAAAAATCGGTGCTGAAAATTTACCTGTCTACAGCGTATGCTTTCCAGCAAAAAATGATTTTAGGCTGTTATAAATCAAATGGCTTTTTTTTAAAACAAAAGACAAGTACAGTTACTTGCAAAATATTCAAATAAAAAAGCATAGACCACCATTCTATGTTTTTTATGTAACACGTTAGTATCCTCATATTTTAACAAAAAATTGGAAATAATCATTGAACTAATACTTAAAAAAACCTATTTGACTCTTCGATTAAGCGTTCTAGCAGAAATTATCGTTCAAATTCCTTTCTAGAAAACAATTCCTTTCGATCCAACAGAAAACAGTTAGTCAGCAACAAAACAGTTTGTTCAAATCATGACCCCGGGGGTAGGGTGTGGCCACAATGGACAATCAAAGTTTTACATAGGGATATATAGGAAAAATCTTCAAAAATCTTCTTCTTAAGAACAGCAAAGCTATGATTGGTCATATTTATATGGAAGCATCCTCTGGTGGTGTAGATTCAAGTTTGTTCAAATCATGACCCCCGGGGGTAGGGTGGGGCCACAATGGACGATCAAAATTTTACATAGGAATATAAAGGAAAAATCTTCAAAAATCTTCTTCTCAAGAACAGCAAAGCAATGATTGGTAATATTTATTTGGAAGCATCCTCAGGTGGTGTGGGTTCAAGTTTGTTCAAATCATGACCATCAGGGGGTAGGGTGGGGCTCCTTAAGAAAGCTTAAAGTCCTAGGTACAACTATACCAACTGCAACTTATGCAGTTGTATGGTTGTATCTAGGAATTAAATTGCTACATAGCAACCCCTTGGCGTTATATGTGGAAATCAGGAATATCTCGATGAGACTTAAAACTACGATTTTTTAACATCATGGCACGTAACTGAGCACGATAAAAAACTACGTTCAGCACTAATGTCTGTCCATACATGTATATCACATGTGTAAATCTAGCACAAGAATGTGCCTGGTTATGTCTTACTTTGGGGTAAAAACTCGCGCTCCCACAAAAAAAAATCAATCAACCAATTTCATTGATAAAAATTACGATATTGACTTAAACTATCTGTTTTCTCAAATAAATTTTGAAGAAATATGTACATTGTATGTTGCTATGCTTCTGCACAGTAGTATAATAAGTTTATTTTTCAGGGGAGATTGGAGATTGGAAGAACCATTTTACCGTTGCTCTCAATGAACACTTCGATGCATTTTACAAGGAAGAAATGAAGGACAGCAAACTTCAAGTGCAATTCGAATAAATCAATCTCATTTTAGTTGATCATTAAAACCAAGCCAGCCAGCATTTTGAAGACAGTTGCAATAAAATTAATGATATACAATTAAGAATATAAATGGATAAACCATAGAAAACAAATTTGTATTTGAGTAGAGTTACAACACGATTCTGCTAATTTTATAGCCTGTTTTTAATCCTCGTCAGTTCTACTCAAACAGTTAATCAATCTTTTAAAAGGTTGAGTAGTAATTAACCAACGTCTGCGCTGTAATTAACCAATGTGCGGACAATATTGTTCATTTTTGATATGAGATATTGTCAGGACAAAGCATGTAACAATATAGTCCTTGTTTGTAAGGCTCATAATCATATTAATAAACGATAAAGTCCCTACTAGACATTTCGATGTGAAAATTATGGCCTAACAATTTGTATGAAAAGCATGGGGCAACATTCGAATTAACGATATATTGTATTTGCTAACAAGGTCATTGTATCTACCATAAAATTTGCGAAACATTGACTTTAAACGAGAATTGTTGATGTCCTTGTATCATTAACTAATTTGTCAATAGCTTGCCTCTTTTTAGAAATTGTTTGTTCGTAGAACATTCTCTTGCGTATGGAATTAACTGGGAGACATAATCCCCATATGCAGGTGATTGCGGAATATTGTTAAATAGTTAAGGGAAGTTGAAGTCATATTCATATAGTATAGTTGTTAGTTTTCCATTTATGAACAATATCAAAATATGAAACAGATGTATTTGACGCTGTGGTGTCTTTTATTTCAAGTTCAAAGGGATATATCGAATCAACATAGAAATTAAACTGAATATTATTATTAATCGATTGACGTCGTAGATATATCTAAATGTTGAATTTCAGGCCACATCAGGATACTTCTTTTTCTGTAGAAGTTTTTGAAGAAAATTTTGCTTCATGTTTATGAATACAAAAACAGATCTGCTAATAACAGAGCGCAATTAGTACCCATAGAAATTCCAACGGATTGTTGTAAGATCTGATCTCCAAAAACTACATAAATAATGTCAATCAGAAACTCAAGCATCTTTTTGATATCAACTTAGGAATACTTGTGTGTAGAATCAGAATGGTTTTTTTTTAATAATTGTGCAGGTGACCAATGACAAGGTATGTAAATTTATTTTTATAGGAAAAAACCCAGTTGTCTAAGTTATCAAAAAGTCTGTTTTTTTTTTAATTTATGGAGATTGGTTGAATAAACTATAGAAAAGGTTTGATGCTATTGATTTTGGTTACATTTTTTTTCTGTTATAACAAATTTCCTAAAAGTTTCTTTGAGTTTTATCCATATCTGATTAACACCACTTTTCGAATATTTTGTTGTATAGTTCTCCTGAAGTTTCTTCTTCACCGCTGATAATATTTTAGAAAGAGGTATATTGTAGAAATTTACTAGAACCCGCTATGTATCTTTAAACTTTATGAAACACGGGTTGACTTAAACTTTTCTGTCGTCAACTTTAATTGTATATTCAGCAATAAAGCGATATCCCTGCATATAGTGTTTATGTCTCCCCATCGATAAGATATGCAGGAGAATATTGTGAGTATGATAAATTTTTACAAGAAAGACGGGCTTCTGACAAATATTTTGATGCCATAGGAGTATCATTCGTTTAAAGTTAACATTTCATGAATTGTTATTACAATGCATACGCTACTTAAACCTGTCGTTGAGTCGAATGTTGCTTGATATTAATTTCAATCTCATTTAACCCCCACGGATTACTCCGTATACCTGATCAAGACAAATGGTCCACGGCTGTTGTGACCTGTCCGCCATGGATGTTTACTTCTTCATTATTTTGACTTTACATATGAAGCTTCGAGGGTCCATTATTGTGATGCTTCAATTTACCTGGTATATTGTCGTACTGGATTCTGAGCTTTATCACTTTTCGTTATCTTCAAATTTCTTTTTAAATAATTTCATTTTACACTATTTTAACTTGTTGTAGAATGATTAGTGTATATTCTATGTTTAAAAGCGAAATAAATGTCCTTGCATAATTTTGCTCAATTGGTAAACTCATACTTGTAATTTACTACATGTACTAGTATCTTCTACATTATAATAAACGAGTAAAATTTCCTTATATAAAATTGCCATTCATCAACCTCAAAGATAATTTTTTGCAATCTTTTACAACTACCTACTCAGAATCAAAGTCAAAAATTCAAACAAACTTTTTACGAAGTCTCTCGGGTAAATGAAATTCAATTTTGGCCCCCCAAAAGATGGATTCAAAAACACTTCAAACAGGCTGAGAATCAAATAAGAATCGTCTTGTAGAATCACCAGACTAAAAGTTCCTCTTCATAATAATTAATGGTAGTTTGACTACATTTTTTAATATAATTAAGCCTAAGAGTATAGAAAAAAATGTATTTAAATAACTTTTTATTAATGTTGTTTTATTTCAGTCATGAATCAATACTGATTCTTATTAACTTTGTTGGTAAATTACTTGCATTCCCAAAGGAAATCATTAATCACAACTATGAATTATTTAATATATGTACATGAAGTATAAAATAAAACGATTTGATAATTAAACAAAGATTTTTTTTAAATATTGAATAGTTTGAGGCACTTTTTTCCCCTTTTCATGGTATTACTAATACATATAAGTGAGAAATTTTTAATAAAGTTTGCAGCTGTTTTATTTTCATAAAAGAATCAATCTTGTTGAAGGTTACAATAAAATTAGCTGATGGTGTGAATATTGATAGATCAACAGGTGAAGCCCTTTGGTCGACGTATTTGATCGATGTCGTCTGAAATCTTTTGGCGTTGGTGAATTTGTAAACATAGATTGAGAAAAAAAAATGCATTATCAAAAGTTAGGCAATGAAAGAAATATAATTTTTAACTATTCCTTAGGAACTGTCTTTTCATTTAATTCTTTAGGAAAAAGTAACTTTTTTGGTAACCCCACATGTAGGTTCAAAGGAATAGACCGTACTACATCCTAAAAGTCATGATGAAATACAGTTAGGTTTTGATGCAACATAGTATACCGTTACATAAAACTTTATTTTTTAAATAAATTGTGACAGAAGCACATCCCTTCTTAACCTAGCAATTTTGTTTCAATAACGTTCGTAGCATCAGTGATAGAGGGCACAGTAAAATCAATTTATTTAACACAGTAGGAAATCATTAAAATAAGCAGTTTCTTACATTTTGAAGTTTTGCAATTTGATCATTCATAAGTACCATTCATTACTTTGCTTCACAATCGATTTGCATTCTGCTCGATATTTTATAATTTTAATTTTATGCAAAACTTTACTTCCAAGATAGAATTCTTTATAAATTAAATATATGTAAAGAAATATTATGCAGTACATTGAGTGAATAAGATATTGAAGTTGACAAAATTTAGCTCAAATTCTTGAACATCTTTTAATAATTCAGTATTAGAATTCTAGATTGTAGAATATTCTAAAAACAAAGAATGATACGAGAATAGTTTGCAGTAGAAATTTTAAAAAAAACATGAATATACTTTCGAGTACTGATAACGAAAACATTTCTTGTTTTGTCATGGCATAGCTATTTTTCTAAAATTGTATGATGATTAACTTATAATACATTTCACTTTCCGAATGGTTTTGAGGTAAACTACAGAAGAGCTTCCTCCAGCTTTTGAATATATAAGTATGAATAAGAATCCTGCAAACATCATACTTAATTCACCTTATTAAAAAAAGAAATCCACCACCGAATACTGATGTTCATTAAACTTTAACTTGAAGTTAATGGGGGAACGAAAGAAATCTCTCTCTCTCTCTCTCTCTCTCTCTCTCTCTCTCTATATATATATATATATATATATATATTATAAAATTATTATTATTATTATTATTATTATTATTATTATTATTGTTTACTGCTTAATTGATTAAATGATATTCATACAGGTAATGGTTTTAAGGTAAATCAAAAATATAAAATTGAATTTTTTTTTCAAAAAGTTTTTCCCCCGATTTGAATTAAGATCAAAACACAATTGTGATTTGTGATACGAGGAACATACATGTATATGTCGTCTGGTAGGGTATTACTGTTTGAGTATTGGTTTTATCCTAACTTTGTGTACAATTAATAAATTAAATAAATTTGAATCTTGATTTAAGCATAGAATTTAGAAGTCAAGGTAACGAAAAAGAGATTTATCACTAAAGGTCTTATAGTAATTAATAAACCAACAAAATACAAAATCCTTATTTATTACTGTTAAAATCCTGCGTATATAAACATTTTCTATTTTTCAAAGAGGTTCTAATAATGGTTAGTTCAAGATCAGAAGGTCTTTCAGCCTTGAACTTTATAAAAATTTCCAAAGTATGTTATATATCGAAATTGAATTTTTAAACGTACGACAATAACTCACAGCTCATTCTAAAGTTTTCTGACAATGCTATTAACATGCTAAATACTAAAACCGACACATTCTGCTTCAAAATAACGCAGCAACGTAAAAATTTGTAGATTTTTAGATTTGTAGTCAAAATTCAATGTCAATCAGACTTTATACTTAGTATCTTATGAGCGCTCTATTTATAAGCGCTTTTAGTTTTAGGAATAAGCATGTATAAATACATATACATAAACTAAGTACTGGAACCACATCATGTTATTTAATGAATATGACATGAAACTTAATCTTATATTATGTTCATAATCACCTGTATGATCTGTTATTTTGAAAAGGTCATGTGGCAGGTATAGGGCATTATAAATATTGTTGTAAGATAAATATTGATGCAAGAGAAAGCGTACGTGTAATCATAAAATAGTTTTCAGAATAGACCTATCCGTCAAGTTTATAGACCAACCAGGTAGTGTTGTGTTGTACAAACGCCTTTATGCCAAGCAATGCAGAACCCTCTGTATTACTAATCTGTAGATATAATTCGTGAAGCATAGTGTTTCATTTCATTAAAATGATATTTTATTTTCGCATTAGATGTATATACGAGAAAGAGAAGGATGAATATCCTATAACTTCTACTATATCACTTGCAATATATTTATGAAATCATTGAGGTCCCCTTCATATGAATAGCGACCTTAAATGAATGAAATCAATTTACAAAGAAAGTTCTGGACAAAAAAAGCAGAAAAATCCCTTCACAAAATTAAAGTTTGCATTAAGAGTATACATCAACATATCTATTTGAACTCAATGCAAATAGAATTGTAATTCTTCAAGCACAATAATTCGTATCTTTCTTGTGTAGCCTGCGATAATCACTCAGATATGAGAAAAAAAATTACGTTTTTATGATAGCTTTGAGTACTTGGCTTCGTGGTCATAGGTGTTCGGCCAGTAAAAAGTTGGCTAGTTCAAATTCAGGTGGGCACTTAACGTTATGTATTGTGCCA